GTGACGACGAAAATCTCTGGACACCAAGCTCCATAACAATATAGACATTTTTTAAAAAATCGTCCGTCATATTGGATCCGCCATTGTGAATTTTGGAAATTTAATTTAATATTCGAAATCAGTGATGATGAAAACCCCTAATACCAAAATTCATTGAAATCTGTCAAATACATATGGAGTACACACTTTTGTCGTCCTATATTGTCGATTCGTCCCTATGTGCGCCGAAGAAGAAGTAGTTGGATTTCAGCGAGCCCGAAAGAACAACTGGTACGATGAAATGTCAAGAAGCCGCAGAGAAAAAAGACGCCGCCTATAGGGCTACTCTGCGATCTGGCGCAACGCGAGCCATGTGGGACCGTTATAGGGAACTGAAGAAGGAATCGAGACGTATTTGCCGCAATACGTACGAGGCCGAGATACGTGAGTGCGAAGAGCTTGAGATGCTGGCCGACTGGAAANCTGCGATCGGGCGCAACGCGAGCCATGTGGGACGACCGTTATAGGGAACTGAAGAAGGAATCGAGACGTATTTGCCGCAATACGTACGAGGCCGAGATACGTGAGTGCGAAGAGCTTGAGATGCTGGCCGACTGGAAAAACGCCCGAAAATTTTATCAGAGTTAGGCAACTTACGGAAGGTTTCAAGACCAGGGCGAACTCCCGTAAGAACAACCATGGTGACCTAGAGACCGATGTCCAGAACGTACTTAAATTATGGAGGGAGCACTTTTCCGCCCTACTAAATGGTAGCAGCACGGGAAGTTGTGGAGAAGAAGAACCCGAGCCCCCAGTTGATGACGATGGAGCCGATGTCCCACCGCCTGACTATGACGAGGTACAAATAGCGATTACGCAGCTGAAAAACAAAGCTGCTGGAGCTGACGACCTGCCAGCTGAGCTATTTAAGTACGGCGGCGAGGAGCTGATGAGGTGCATGCATCAACTCTTATGCAGGATATGGTCAGATGAACGAATGCCCGGCGACTGGAATTTAAGTGTGCTCTGCCCAATCCACAAGAAAGGCGACCCCGCCATACGCGCCAACTACCGCGGAATCAGCCTTCTAAGTATAGGTTATAAGGTCTTATCGAGTGTATTGTGCGTAAGACTGAAGCCCACCGTCAATGAACGGATTGGACCTTATCAGTGTGGCCTTAGGCCTGGCAAATTCACCATATATCAGGTATTCACAATACGAGAAATCTTGTAAAAGACCTGCGAGAATAGGATCGACACACACCATCTATTTGTCGATTTCAAAGGCGGTTTCGACAACATGAAGAGACGCCTTTTTTACGCCGCGATGTCTGAATTTGGTAAATCCGCGAAACTAACACGGCTGTGTAAAATGACGTTGAGCAATACCAGCTCCGTCAGAATAGGGAAGGACCTCTCCGAGCCGTTTGATACCAAACGAGGTTTCAGACAAGGG